GTATAATTACAGTTTTGTTCTAACATTATTCAGAGTGAAGCAACTCCTTACTTTAGTTTACATTGGCAGACTTTTTAATGTTCAAATACTGTTTAATTGTGTTGTCTAGAAAGTTATCACAACAGAATCAGTTTTGTCTTATAATATTATGTAGCCAAACAAAAGAGGCTGTTTASTGGTAATAAAATGTGGTTTTGGCTCAATATAGACTTATATTTATGTTATAGTACCCTACTGAAAGTCTTTATATAAGCATAGAGCTAATCAACATCTTGTGAGTTAACAAAAAACAAAACAAAAAAAAACTCTTCAGTCAACAAGTTAAAAAAAAGCAATGAAACAAAGAGAAAYCGTAGACATTCATGTCAAAGAGTTCACATTTGGGTAGAAGCAGTTTGTTCTAAACATCAACCAGCACATCTGGAGTCAAAGAAACTCTTCAATTGAAAAAAACCAAAACCTTGGAGACCGTTCAGTTTGCAGGCTGAAGAGCAGAAAACCCACTCCAACTTCCACGGTGATTAAACTGTARAAGTTAGGTTATGTTAGGCCGTTATTGTCATCGTACAGAGCACAATGAAATTACAGTTACAAGTCTACAGTGTCTTTATATTACAAGCTTTATACAGGTACAGATTTTCTTCAAGCACAGGACTCTGTTGTGCTCTGACGGTTTGACCCAAGCAAACACTAATAAATCTTGACAAACCAGAGATTAGTCTGTACACATTAAACCATGAACTTAGCTTTCTAATGGCTGATTTATTTTATTTTATTTTTTATTTTGTTTCATTCTTCAGACTGTCCTTTAGAATATTCCTCAGCTGACTGGAGGGGCATGTTGAGTACAGAAAATAAAAAAGAGTGAATGACTCCTGAGGCCACTCTATTACATTATAATCATAGGGTAAGGTTAACAGTGACAAAATAAATGAATATAACTGTTAGCCACTTACTCCATCTGCACAAAGGTCATGTAAAGTAATTTAAAAAGGTGCTAAAGGAAAAAAAAATCACCGTAAAAAGTAGGATCTGTCTATAAACCAGCGAGAGTAATTCACTCCTGACAAGACTGTAAAAATTTATTTTACAGTTAATATATATGTTTATTAAATAAAGTCTAATGTTACAACTAATCAGGGATCCCTTTAAAAGTCATTAAACTGTTCTCAAAAATTAGGAAATAAAAGTACTTTTACACACTTTAACAAATAAACTGTTGAATGTACTGAACCAAACTGGTTCCACTAAACCAAGTTGAGTAAACAGAGCTCCATTTTTACTCTACTAGGTTTAGTGGAACCAGTTGACGGGACTTGGTCGAGTAAATTCAACACTTCATTATTTTAGGGCGCYTTAACAACTCCTTTCATTATGAGTTCAGACATTTTTAATCTTGTAATGTATAACTAGGTGCTACATAAAGCTAAGAAGTCAAAGTATAGATTTTAGATTTTAAATGTAACAAAATAAAACTAAAAGTAACAACTTAAAAAATACTTGGTAAAATTAACAATCCTCAAAAAACTTACTTAAGTAATGTATTGAAGTAAATGTACTGAGTAGGGATGCACAATGTTGTGTGAAATATACTGTTAAAGAAATTTGCCATGGTAATAATTTGTCATATCTCAATAAAAACAATAAAATCCCACCGTGTGTACAGTTAATATGCCGGTCTTTTGGACCAGAAATCTAAAGGTGTAAAGCACATGTAGAGGTTCCTGCCAGCCTTGTTTCTGCATTCTTGCACAAAAAAGCCTTTCAGTTTTTACATGTTCATTAGATTTTGTTGAAAGTATTTTTTTAGGTTATCAGGTTGTATTTACAGTTGTACTACTTTGTGATTTTTATAAGTCTTTTTTTGTTGTTGTTTACACCATTTAAANGTTTAAACACTGGAGCTCAATACTTGACGTAATTGGTCGAAGCAACGGGGTTAGAGACGCAGAAATGATTTAAAGATGTTATGCTGATGAAGACTGACATCTAGTGGTCAACTGGAGCAACAACATGGAAAACTTTAAAATCCAAGCTCTTATTTTGAAGGGAAGATAGTTTCCTGTATTGCGTGCTTTTGTTTTCCATCACAAATCAAATCCATCATGTAACCCAGAATGCATCGCTTCAGTTTTCCAATAAATAGTTTTAAAATTATTTATTGATGCATCTTTAATGAAAAATCTACAACAAACAAAAGAAAAAGACAAAGAAGCAGCCGAACTAGCAATCCTCAACAACTTTTTAATTTTTACACCAGGAGTTAAAGGTCTGTTTTAGGAAATCACATCCCCAACAATCAGCGGTTGTAGGATTAAGTTGTAAAAGAGTTCATACACCACTAGTTGGCAGTGTTGTTCATATATTGTACCTGAATTATTGCCAGCTAGTAACTGTCAAATTGAACTTGCGCTTTAAAATTAGCTTCTGCTAATTTTTCTATGGCATAAGTGCTTTTGAAGTTGCGGACCTAAATATTTTCATAAGCGCTTTAGAAATTGCGGTGCTAATTTTTGGATTAGCGCTGCCCACCACTGTCAAAGAGACTTCAAACCTCCTGATAGCTCCAGGCTAAACTATTTGAACCTCATCCAGTAAACACAATGTTAGTTGTTCAAAACCAGATTCTTTTGTTTCTACTTCACGTCGGACCTTTTGATGAGTTTAATGTGTCTGAATAGTTTATTACTTTCATTAACTCAAGTTAGCCTAACTCAGTCATGACTTTAAAAAAAAGTCAGATAAATTCAAGCTAGAACCTCCAGGTTTTAGGAAGTGGGTCTGATCAGGTGTGTGTGTTGGTGTCCTCACCGCGCCCACAGGGAAGGCCAGCACAGCCATCATCCAGTCTCTCAGGCCCACCAGCTTCTTGAGCTGCCGCTCCTGCTCCCTGCTGTCCACTCCTTTAGTCAGCAGGCTGGACACGTCGATCAGGACGCACAAGCCGAAGAACACGGCCTGGATCACCTGCAGAGACACACGGGAAAAAGAACGGCTGTGTGAGACGAGCGCAGTGTGAACGTTCACAAGTGTTCACAGTGAGGCCATTCTCTCTTCTCTGTTTTCGGCACGTATCTCGTTTCGCAATTTTTGTGCTGTTTTAACAATTCCTATATCAAAATGTTCAGCRATGACTTTTGGAATTTCAGCTTTTCATACTATTTTAGCTACTTCACTTTTTTGACTGCTTTTTCCATTAAAAATGAATGGAGCTGTTTTCAACATCCTTAAAAATCCTTTAAAGGGGTAATATAATCTAAAATCAACTTTTTTGAGTTTTATATCATGTTATAATGTTATACTCTCATAAAAAACATGCACAAAGCCTTGCTTTGACTCATTCATGCATGTTTGAGTAATCCTGCAGGTTTTATGAAGCCATGCTGAGGAGCAAAACGACAGGTGGGGACCAGAAACACCTTTTGGTACCAGAAACACCCCTGGGACTTTAAGCCGAACTTCCTCATGGCAGAGTGCACCCCCTCCCCCCACCCCACACACACCGCCCATGACTCGAGAAGGGGTTATCTGCGGAATCAAAGTGGGCGTGTCACAAGAGTGGGAGTGTCTAAAGCATAAACATTGTGGGCTACGAGGCCTACATGACGGTATACTTAGACCCTGCTTGATCTCTTTACAGCCTGACCCTGACCCCAACACTAAGGTTAACCAGGAGAAATGTGACCCAAGTAGGGTTCTCCAGAAAAAGTGGTGCCGTACAGTAACGCCCATTTTGTTCTTGTCCAATCAGGTGGTGCCGTATGGTGACGCCCCTTGTTTTGCTTGTCCAGTCAGGTGTGTCTCTTTAATAAAGTCCGTCAAATCAGGTGTGTCTCTTTAGAATCGCCTTTCGTTGTGACACGCCCACTCGTCCGCAGAGACCCCCTACTTGCTTGACTCCTGCAGGCTCTCGGGTGAAAGTGAAAGTGAAACTTAACTGTCTGCTGAGCTCTCAACACAACTTCTCACTCAGTGAATCTCTTTTCAGATTAAAAACACCTTTGAGGAAATGTATTTTCAGATGCCAAGTAAACTGCATCCTAGCGCACGCACGAACCCCACCCACTTCCACCCCCTGCGCGCACGAGCCCCCCGCACGCATCTTTTTAACTTCCTTGTGCTAATTTTAGCTAATTTTTTTAGCAAATGTTGGCTTTTTCTGCCTTTTAAGCTGTAATTCTGCTTCTTTATGCTATTCTTCRGCTATTTTCTACTTTTTCTGCTAATTTGAGCCATTTTTGCTTCTTACAGTTGCTTTCTGCTATATTCAGCTATTTCCTGCAATTTTAGCTAATGTTGCTGCTGTTAGCTAAAGTTAGCTTTTTCTAAGCTAATTTCACATTTTGGTAGCTATTTCAACTTCTTTCTCCTTAATTCAACAAGCTTGCACTCCTTATGCTAATTTAAGAATTTAAACCTGAATTTTAGCCATTTTAACTGCACACTTTAGCTGTTTTAGCGATAACAAACTGTTTTGTACTTTTATACTTTTTTCTGCTAATTTTAGACTTTTTACAACATTTTCACCTTCTGCATGCTAATTTCAACTTGTGGATAGGGCTGTGTATTGGCAAGAATTTGGCGATATGATACATATCGTGACAGAGGGGTCACGATACGATATATCCCGATATATTGCGATACTATAAGCAAGGCGATATATTAGGATTTTTTTTGTCCAAAAATTCTATTAAATAAAAACCTCTTACAGGGGAAAAAAATGTAAAACCAAAATTCATTGTCTCAGAAAATTCTAATATTAAATAGAGATACTTTTGATACATTTAGCTTGTTTTATATTTCTTATTTCATCCATGTTTTCAATTATTAGACTAAATTTGACAATAAATAGTTTGAAACTATATTTTTTGCAGCTTTTAGTTTTTAATATTAATTTACAATATGGTCACCCAACACTTAACAATAGCCTCTACCTCAAGAGGTAGAGGAGCCAAATGGCTGGCTCACTGCTGCCAACTAGTGCTCAGAGGCTGAACTACAACATAAAAATGAATGGCTGGCAGGAAAGTTGACATTTTAAACCTTATTAAAAAACGATACAGGGCTTTAGAATATCAATACAGTATCGGGAAATGAAATATCGCGATATTTCAGTGTATCGATATTTTCTTACACCCCTACTTGTGGATGCTAGCTTTAGCTTATTTTCATGCAAATTTTAGCTTTTTTCTTTTTTCTTCTGCTTTTTTCTTCTGCTAATTTCTTCATTTTTGTCTTTTCTGCAAAATTGAACTACGCTTCTATTGAACTTGCATTAAACTTTAGTTTTCAGCAAGAAGCATTCACACTAGCATTTTCACGGGAAATCCAATTTCTCTAGCTCCCACTTGTTTAGCTAATTAGCCAACAATGTTTTGCTTTTTTATCTTCACGCAGCCTGATAAGCCCCGCCCCTCTCAGTGTTTTACCCTCCATGTTTGTAATGAAACAGCCTTCATCGATATGACGTTCTCAGTGATGAATGCAACCTCTCGCTGCAGCTCCACGGTTTACGACGTCACCTCTCTGGGAGAATGAAGTGTCAGCAGCTGGACGGGAGGACATTAGCTTCGAAGCTACGTGTCGCTGCTTTATTCACAGCTTTGATGTATAACGTTAAGAGTTTGTGTCTACATGTGTGTTCTTTACCTGAAACTAAAGCAGGCAGCAGAACAAACATAAAGCCCCTAAAAATATCTGCTGTAGCTTCTCTGCTACGTAAATAACAGCTTTCTACGGGAGGCCTGCTAGCGCCAACAACAACACGCTCAATCAATAATCTGTGAAACCAACAGAAAAGATCTCATTTCTGCTTCTCTGTCTCCACTGCACCATCTGCAGGGTTTTATGTTGCTCATGGGAACCTCACGTGCACACAAACACACACAAACACACACACACACACACACACACACTGACTGAGACCCAGATGCTGCAGCTCAAAGTGTTTCCTGGCTGCCGGTGTGCAGCTCTTTAACAGCTCAGTTAAAGCCAGGCGAGAGGTCTGATGTGGAAAATATGACACAGCCTTTTCTCACACACACACACACATGCACGCACGCGCACACACACACACACACACAAAACCAGGCCATGATCTTTAAAGAGGGTTATTCTGTCCATAAAACCCGTTTTTCCCATCAACATTTTTACGTTTCTCTTGTTCTTTAAATTAGTTTTTCGAGCTGATTACATCCAGACTATTTAAACAAAAGGTGCAGCGCAAAAAAAAAAAAAAACTTCACTTTAATAAGTGACACTATGAAAATCCAGCTCAAATTTTAAAATAATTTTGATGAACTGCTTTTATAAATACATGATTTAACGATAACAGCTCATAATGTCACTTCACTGCAAAAACTCTTACAATTTTATATCCGCCAAAAAGTTTTCCTGATCTTGTTTTGAGACCGATACACTTAACAAGAGCAGAATATGTTAGATTATTAATCTTGTTCGATAGAAATTTATCTTATTTCACTAACTCTTACAAAGTGCACCTGCAGATGATTTCATTCAGTTTAGGAAAATTCAGTTATATTTTTAGTATTTTTGACTTATTTTTAGATGGTTAATTTGAGCTGTTCTAAACTTCCCAAATGTTTTAAAATAAACTTATTACACAGATATTACACTTATATTATAGTTTATATAAAACTGTCTTTGTGTCTGTAGATTGATGCAGACTGAACACCCATTGACTTTCATTGTTTCTGAGCTCAGAATTTTATTTACAAAACTGAAAACAAAGATTATTTTTTTTAAATATATATATTTTGTAAAGTCCCAATTGACTCCTGGATGATGGTTGTTATACGGAGCGTTATTATGGACAAAATTAAGGCTATTGCTCAACCAGTAGTTGCTGCATCCTTGTAGCAGGAGGCTACATCTGTTCCTAAACCAGTTATTGATCTGATTAATGAGAGGCTGGCACCGCTAACTGAGAGACTGGAGCTGGTAAATGAGAAGGAGACTATTCATTTGAGTGAGCATCAGAGAGGCTAGCAACTAGCATGAATAAGCTGATGTTAGCATTGGAGAGGCTAGCGACTAGCATGGATAAGCTGGCATTAGCATCAGAGAAGCTAACGACTAGCATGGATAAGCTGGTGTCAGCATTGGAGAGGCTAGCGACTAGCATGATTAAGCTGGTGTTAGCATTGGAGAGGCTACTGACTAGCATGGATAAGTTGGCATTAGCATCAGAGAGGCTAACGACTAGCAAGAATAAGCTGGTGTTAGCATTGAAGAGGCTAGCTACTAGCATGGANCATTAGCATCAGAGAGGCTAACGACTAGCAAGAATAAGCTGGTGTTAGCATTGAAGAGGCTAGCTACTAGCATGGATAAGTTGGCATTAGCATCATAGAGGCTAACGACTAGCAAGAATAAGTTAGTGTTAGCATTGGAGAGGCTAGCGACTAGCATAAATAAGCTGTGTTAACATTGGTGAGGCTAGCAATTAGCATGGATAAGCTGGTGTTGGCATTGGAGAGGCTAGCTACTAGCATGGATAAGTTGGCATTAGCATCAGAGAGGCTAACGACTAGCAAGAATAAGCTGGTGTTAGCATTGGAGAGGCTAGCGACTAGCATGAATAAGCTGGTGTTAGCATTGGAGAGGCTAGCGACTAGCATGGATAAGCTGTGTTAACATTGGTGAGGCTAGCAATTAGCATGGATAAGCTGGTGTTAACATTGAAGAGGCTAGCTACTAGCATGGATAAGTTGGCATTAGCATCAGAGAGACTAACGACTAGCAAGAATAAGCTGGTGTTAGCATTGGAGAGCCTAGCAATTAGCATGGATAAGCAAGTGTTAGCATTGGAGAGGCTAGCAATTAGCATGGATAAGCTAGTGTTAGCATTGGAGAGGCTAGCGACTAGCATGGATAAGATGGCATTAGCATTGGAGAGGCTAGCGACTAGCATGGATAAGCTAGTGTTAACATTGGAGAGGCTAGCGACTAGCATAAATAAGCTGGTGTTAACATTGGAGAGGCTAGCGACTAGCATGGATAAGCTAGTGTTAACATTGGAGAGGCTAGCGACTAGCATAAATAAGCTGGTGTTAACATTGGAGAGGCTAGCGACTAGCATGGATAAGCTGATGTTAGCATTGGAGAG